GCCCCACAACTGTACATCCCCCCCCCTCCCAGTTGCATCTGCCTGTGCGGGAAACATACAGCTTCGTGACATCACTCTGATGACATCACACCATAGCTGACATGCACCCCCTTGATGACATCACATCCACACATCCCAGGAGAGCTTTACCCGGCTGTACCCATCACCATGGGGCACAGTCAGCTTCCCCGCTCCCAGTGACATCACACTTGTCTCCCTTGCGGTGATAATGGCATCATACTGTACGTCATGTCCCCAGTCCCAACCTCCACGACATTCCCATGACGTCACGTGTCCCATGTCAAGTGATACCCAGAGACACACACCCCTGCTGCCATTTTGTCACCTGCTGCTATTTTGTCACCCATTGCCATTTTGTCACCCATTGCCATTTTGTCGCCCACCACCATTTTGTCACCCGTTGCCATTTCATCACCCGTTGCCATTTCATCACCCGCTACCATTTTGTCACCCGCTACCATTTTGTCACCCACTGCCACTTCGTCACCTGCCACCATTTTGTCACTCTCTATTTTGTCACCCATTGCCATTTTGTCGCCCACCACCATTTTGTCACTCTCTATTTTGCCACCCCCTGACACTTTGTCATCCTCTTCCACTTTGTTGCTCGCTACCATTTTGTCACCAGCTGTCATTGTGTCACCCACATGCACACACGTTGTACCACCAGACTGTGACCCCCTTGTTGCCTCCAACTGTAGCTTCCCCCTCCACGATGACCGACTGTTGCTGGCACAGCTGGAGACAGGAGCCAGGACTGAAGTGCCCCTGCCTGTCCCTGCCTCACTGCAGCCACGGGTGGCTGGTGCGGTGATTGCGTGCTGTAGTCGTGTCACACCTTGCACACCTGTGGTTGTGATGTGATGTGGTTGGGACACCTCTGGGAACCACAGGCAGCCTGCTGGGTGTACCAGGAGACACTTCTCTGCCTGTACCTGCCTTGCTTTATCACCCCTCCGACTGTAGCCAGGCTATACCGCTCTGCCTGTACCTGCCTTGCCTTATCACTCCTCCGACTGTAGCCAGGCTACACCGCTCTGCCTGTACCAGCCTTGCTTTATCACCCCTCTGACTGTAGCCAGGCTACACCTCCTTCCCATCTCTGCCTGGCAGGGATCCTGACTCTGTCGTCCGCCTGTTGCTGCCTGACAACAGTCATACGGCCGGGTGTTTCCCAAGCACCCCATCTCCCCTACCCATCCTCCATCCCGGGGACCCCCCCGTCTGGGTGTTCCTGCCTGTGCCCCCCCTCCTCAGCACCCTGGGTACCCCCGTGTCTGGGTGTACTGACCCCGCTCCATTCCCCCCCCTCCCAGGAGGCCCTGCCGGCTGTGACCCCCCACCGAGGACCCCCGGAGCAGCAACACCTAGTCCATGAGGCCTCCGCTCACAGGTAGGTGCTGTTGCCGTGGCAACCCTGCCTGGACAACCCCCGCATCTCCATGGTGACCTGCCTGATCTAGAACCCCCTGCCACCGTGACAACGGGTTGGATCCTGCCCCACGGTGCTGTGCAGCAATGCTGGGGGTGGCAGATCCTGCCCCATGGTGATGTGGAGTGATGCTATGGGGCTGGATCCTGCCCCACGGTGCTGTGGGGTGATGCTGGGGGGCCAGATCCTGCCCCGCAGTGCCATGGGGTGATGCTGGGGAGCCAGATCCTGCCCCACAGTGCTGTGGGACGATGCTGGGGGGGCCAGATCCTGCCCCACGGTGCTGTGGGGTGATGCTGGGGGGCCAGATCCTGCCCACGGTGCTGTGGGGAGATGCTGTGGGGCTGGATCCTTCCCCACTGTGCCATGGGGTGATGCTGGGGGGCCAGATCCTGCCCCAGGGTGCCTTGGGGTGCTGCTGTGGGGCCATGGGGTGCGGGGACCGGATCCCAGGGTGCCATGGGGCACAGGGGCCAAATCCTGCAGGGAATCGGGGCGACGGGAGGCCGGATCCGGCGTCGCCGTGGGGCGTGGGGGGCCGGATCCTGGCCCAGGCGGCGACGCTGGCCCCGGTCCCGGGTGGGCGATCGGCCAAGGCGGCTTCGGCTCCTCCGACGAGCTGGGGCCTGGAGGGGGGGGCC